AGACGACCAGCTGGATGACTCATGCGGCAGGCAGCCTATGAGTGTTTTGGTGACCATTTTTCCGCATTTTTTCTGAGAAACGGATCTTTTTTCCCCAGATAGCTGCGGGCTATAGGGGTTTTAACTTCTCAATGGTGTGGCTCTGGATCGGCGTTTTGGTTTTGCGGGTGCTGCTGCCGTGCTGGTGCTGGTGCAGGTGCTGGAATGCCATCATGGCATGGCAGGGGCGATATCCAGGGATGGTATCACGTCATGCCCGGGATGACATCAGGTCATGCCGGGAGGACATCAGGTCATGCAAAGGATAACATCATGCCATGCCAAGAATGAAATCATGTCATGCCAGGGATGACATCATGTCATGCCAGGGCTGACATCATGTCACCCAGTGGGGCGCATGTTGCCAAAGTGGATAACTTCGCCAAAGGAATGTGGAGGTGGTCAAGGTGTGCAACAGTTGTCGAAAACAAAGGTGGAGGTGTCCGAAGTGTGTAACTGTTGTCGAAGACGAGCGTAGAGGTGGCCAAAGTGTGCAACCGTCGTCGAAAGCGAAGGTCGAGGTGGCCAAAGTGTGCAACTGTTGTCACAAACGAAGGTGGAGGTGGGCAAAGTGTGCAACTGCGGTCGAGCACAAATGTTGTGGTTGGCAAAGGTGGATTGAACCTCAATGTATTTGGATTGAGAACAACAACGACAACAACGAGGTGGAAACAAAAACTGCAGCACCGTCCTTGTTTTTCAACCCCGTGAAAACAACCACCCAACAAGTATTTGCACCAGAATTATCAAGAATTGGTAGCAGCAGCGCTACTAGTAGTAGTAGTAGTAGTAGTAGCAGTAGTAGTAGTAGTAGTAGTGGTAGTAGTAGTAGTAGTACTAGGGGTAGCAGTAGTGGTAGTAGCAGTAGTAGTAGTAGTAGCAGGAGTAGTGGTAGTCGTAGCAGTAGTAGCAGTAGTAGTAGTAGTAGTAGTGGTAGTGGTAGTAGTAGTAGTAGGAGTAGGAGTAGGAGTAGGAGTAGTCGTAGGAGTAGTCGTCGTCGTCGTCGCCGTCGTCGTCGTCCTAGTCGTCGCCGTAGTGGTAGTGGTAGTGGTAGTGGTGTGGTAGTGGTAGTGGTAGTGGTAGTAGTGCAGCAGTAGCAGTAGCAGTAGCAGTAGCAGTAGCAGTAGCAGTAGCAGTAGCAGTAG